ATCGACAGCTTTGAGGAGCGGTGGGTGCTGTCCGGGGTTCTCTGCTCGGTGTCCCCATCCGGCTCCCTTATTTTGAACCTCTAGCCCGCACTTCTTGATCCTTTAGTCATTATTTGTCCCAAGCAATCAGTTGGACATGGGTTCAGTGTCCCTCCCATAAGGTTTTGGCAGTGCAGAAGGAATCCGAGACTCATTGCAGGTGTGGTGTTCTGCAAATGAATTGCTAAAAAGGGATGGGTGAAAAGTTCAGTAAAAGGGTGAAGACACAGAGGTGAGTGGTAGGGAAGGAAACCCTGAGATCTTTAGAAGATCTTGTGTAACTCACTGGTGAGTGTGAATCACGGCTACTGCATCTGTTCTCCTCTGCTCCTGCTGTTAGCTCTGGAAGTTCCTGGTGTGTCAGCCAAAGGGGCGGCAGTAACAGATGAAGTGACGAATGCTCTTACTGCATTTAGCACCAGGCTCCTGGCAAAACTGCAGTTCAGAATTACCTGCTGCCTCCCAAAATCCTTACTGCCAACTGCAAATGCTTTTCTCCATTTTCTGTCCTGAGGCTCCAGTTATATTTATACAGTAGCACTTTCAGCTTGTGCGGGAGGTACTGTAAACTGTCGGAAAATAACTTAATAGCTCCACCTCCACCTCTGCAAAAGGTGGAAGTTACGTCTACTCTGCTGCTTAGTTCAGGAGAGTTCAGAACCTCCTGCCCCCCGCAGTGAGAGATGCAAGTTATATTGAAGGAAACTGTAGTGTAGATGAGGTCTGAGCAGTTAGAAAGGAGTGGCCATTCCTGTTTTCGCTGGGCTACCCATTCTGCTCTAGGTAATTCCGAGCCACAAGGGCAGTGTCATACCTAAATTAGGTTATTCCAGGAGAAGCAGTCTGCACAGCCTTAGGCATGAGTGTGCAAGTGATTCTGGTTCAGACTGCCTCATTTCAAGCTTCAGATCTGTGGGGAACTTTCTAACATGCTTTGCCAGCTCCTGCAACTGTTCTGTAGCCTGCCTACCTCCCGCCACGTTCAGTTATTGCTAGTCACTAATCACTCCGTAATTGGTGTTCCCTGCAGCCCCAGGCCAGCCATGCCACTCAGCGAACACATGAAAAGCCCACCCTGCCGGCACCTCCCCATCTTTATTCTCTCGCAATTCATAACAGCCTTCTGCTTGTTTGCCTACATTCGGCTCTCCAAAGACCCAGGCCAAGAGGTCCAGGCTGGCCAACCCTCCACCCTGACCACCCAGCCTGTAAACAACCCCACAACTCCGCAGCCTGGTTCGGAGCTGACCATCCTGCTGTGGACCTGGCCCTTTGGGCAACATGCTGCTCTGAGAAAATGCTCCAAGCTCTTGGGCATCCACGACTGTCACATCACGGCCAACCGCAGCTGGTACCTCAAGGCTGATGCTGTGATCGTACATCACAGGGATGTGTGTTCCAGCCCAAAGACATTGCCCGAGGGCCCACGGCCCCCTTCCCAGCGCTGGATCTGGTTCAACTTGGAGTCTCCCACCCACAGCCCTAACCTGGGCTTCATGGATAACCTCTTCAACCTGACCATGTCTTACCGAAGGGACTCTGATATCTTCACCCCCTACGGGTGGCTGGAGGTCCTCAGCCAGCCCCAGAACTTCAGCATCCCCGCCAAGTCCAAGCTGGTGGCCTGGGTGGTGAGTAACTGGAACCCAGACTCCCGCCGGGTGCAGTACTATGAGGAGCTGAAGAAGTACATCCACGTGGATGTATATGGCAGGAAACACATGTCTCTGCCCCGGGACAAGCAGTTATCCACCCTGTCCCAGTACAAGTTCTATCTGGCCTTTGAGAACTCGCTTCATGAGGACTACATCACCGAGAAGCTCTGGAGCAATGCCCTGGGCTCAGGGGCTGTGCCCGTTGTCAGCGGCCCCCCGCGAGAAAACTATGAGCGCTTTCTGCCCCCCGATGCCTTTATTCACATCAATGACTTTCCCAGTGCTCAGGGGCTGGCCCAGTACCTTCAGGAGCTGGACAAGGACCTAGTGCGCTACCAGCGCTACTTCCAGTGGCGAACGTGGCTCAATCCATCAGAGAGAACTTACTTGGCCATTCACCTCTGCAAAGCCTGCCAGGCCTTGCAAATGACACAGACCTACCAGACCAGGCCTGCTCTGTCCAAGTGGTTCCACTAGGGGTGACATGCTCAGTTGCTGTGTTCAGGGCAAGTCATATACTGCTGGCTTGGTTGCAACTAGCCATGATTGACATTTTTCTTTGTTCAGCGATGTGCTTGCATTCATTACAAGCTGGGTAGACTTTACCTGAGGGATTGGCTGTTCTCTGCCCAGCCCCTCCCTGGTACTCCATTGACTAGTTTAACAAAACTGGAATTGTGAAATGTGGAATAAGGAAACGAGACCAAATAAAAAGGCAGCTTCTGGGAATTAGATCAGGGATCCAGTTTCGGGGAGCTGTGGTTATGGCCAGTCTAGCCACTTAGGGTATGTCTAGACTACATGCCTCTGCTGACAGAGGCATGTAAATTAGACATACTAACGTAGTCAATGAAGTGGGGTTTTAAATATCCCCTGCTTCATTAAAATAAAAATGGCCGCCACATTGTGCCGGCTCAGCTGATTGTCGGCACAACGCGGCAGTCAAGATGTGGATCGGTCGACAGGGAAAGCCATTGTCAACCGATCCCTTATGTCTCATGAAACGAGGTTTACAGGATTGGTCGAAAACGGCTTTTCCTGTTGACCAATCCACATCTTGACTGCCACGTTGTGCCGACAATCATCTGAGCCGGTACAACGCGGCGGCCATTTTTACTTTAATGAAGTGGGGGATATTTAAATCCCAACTTCATTGACTATGTCGGTATATCTAATTTACATGCCTCTGTTGGCAGAGGCATGTAGTCTAGAAATACCCCTAGGTTTGAAAGAGGAAAGAGCTACTTCAGCTTGGGAGACAGCCAATACAAAGTTATTATGACTACTCAAGAGGAGGCAATGGGTTGATGTGGGGTAGGAATAAGAACAGAAGGATGAGAGGCACTTGGGGTATTCTAGCTTCCATATGTCAAGCTGAGCATTTTATGGGCCTAGTTGAATCTTTAAGGGGCCTAACTAATGAATAACGATTCTCCATCTATGGCTATTCCACTGGTTCTATATTTGGACCTTCCTGACAATAGTTTGGGGCCCTTCGAAGTTTTTTGAAGGGGCAAATGCGACGGGTGCTGTCACAGAAGACTCCTTGGGGGTGCCTCCCAGAGTACTGACAAAGCCACTGACATTCACCTCCTTCCTCTCTGGAGCTTCCCACCACCCTGTCTTGCTGAGCCAGCTCTCCTGGTCCCCCCCCACCGAAGGTACAGAGCTGAGATTAGTGCTCTACCCCCCCAAAGAGCAATGCAAACACTGACCCTCTTCAGGTCTGAGGAGAATGCAGTTTTGGGCCCAGCTTCCAGGGAGCCCTCTCCACAAATGGGATTAGAACCCCAAATAAATCATTTAGGCAAGCCCCGTTTAATAATGAAAGGAGGATGTACCTGCTGATTGCTCCCCCAGATAGCAGTTGTTTACACTGGGCTTGATAGTCAATAAAAGTGAGTTTATTAAGTACAGACAGTAGAATTTAAGCGGTTGCAAGTGAAAACAGGCAGAGCAAATTGAATTCCAAGTTTAAAATAACAAGAAATGCATAGCTAGTTCTAACATACACTCAAGCTTATTACAAAATCACTCTAAACAAGTTCTTATTTTAGCTAAAGCTCCAAACCAGGGAAGATTTTTTTCCCTGGGTCTCTGGTTCATTCTCTTGGCAATGACACAGCAGCCAAAGACAAAGGCCCTGTAAATTTGGCATCTTAAATAGTCTTCTTTTTAGAAGGGAATTCTTGGTCTCCAAATTCTACTCTTCCACGGAAAATTACCTAGTCAGACCCCTACCAACTGGGTTGGACACGTGACTTCCTAAGCCCAACTAGTGCTTAGACTCAAATCACAGAAGAGGCTGTTTACTTGTGATCTCCCAGACATTGAGAGAAACACTCTTGATGGCTTTCATTTGCACATTTAAAACCATAAACCATTCCATACTCCATATTTCTAACTTTCTATACAAGAATGACACACACTCCAAAGTAAGATACACACATCCTGCAGGTTGTGATTAAGATTGGTAGGTTACATTGCCATGCTAGTGGAGTTCAGGCTGAATGTAACAGAACAATGATAAAGTGAAAAAAAAATAGCCATTTGGACCTGTAGGATCTTAGCCCTGGTGAATGAAGTCCAAAGTCACTGTTCTTATCTTGAAAGCATTCTAGTGCTGGTACATATGTTGTTGAAAACAGTTGAAAACTCTTGTTTTGTACTAACATGTTCTGATATGTTGTGGCAAGTCACTTAAGGGACATTGATTAGACTAAAGGTTTTAATGTATAATCTTACTTTGTTAGGTATGTCTACAGTATAGCATTAATTCAAGTTATTTTAACTCGAATTAGTTAATCTGAATTAAGCTAATTCGGATTAACGCGTCTACACACGAAATGCAGTTCGAATTAGCATTTTGCTAATTCGAACTACTGCGTCCATACAGAGTGGACACTGAATCGGATTGAAGGCCGGCAGGAACCAAGTCAGGCAGGGCATCAGGTCAGGAGTATCTGTGTGTGGCTGTTGCCTGAGGCTATCTGAGGTTTGTTCTTAAAGGGACATCCCGCCCCCTCCCCTCCCAGCTAGCCAGTTCGCAGGTGTCCTTGCTTGCTTGCCTGTCTCGCTGCGGGACAGCAAAGCATTTCTGTCTTGGAGTGCCCTGAGTGCCCACACGCAGAACATCACAGCACTCAGCCATCAGCCCGGCTGCACTTGCCCCAGGCTGCCATCCGGGGTTTCAATCGCCGGGGGGCTGCAGGAGAGCTTCCACCCCGAGGAGCCCGCAGAGCCACCCCAGTCCTCCCCATCGGGGGCTCGTACCCCATTCCTCCCTCACCTCCCTTCCACTTACCCCTCCCTAACCCCCTTCCTGATGTACAAAATAAAGGACACGTGTGTTCAAAAATAGAAACTCTCTTTATTTAACAAAACTGGGGATGAGCGGGGGGGATTAACCTCTGGGGAGACTGGGAAAAGGAGGTGGGAGAGGGGAAGAGAGAGAGTGGGAGAGGGGAGGGGGAAACCTGGGAGGAGGGAGCTGGAAGGGGGAAGCCAGGGGAAGAAGGAGGAGGGGAAGTATAAAACTATGGTATACCCACATCTTCAGTACCCTAGACCAGAGCGGGTGGCTGTACACGGGCACTTCAGGTATGATCTGTGTGCTATTTGATTGTTTGAGTGGCCCAGATGGGAGGTACTGCAGCAAAGCCTTGTGAGGAACCCAAGGTTTCAGGACAAGGGAGATACATCCCCTTTCTGGTCTGAACTCCAGAATATCATAGGGCGACTATTTCTCCTTGAATGTAATGAAATCTGTCTGTCAATAGCACTGAGGTGACCAGCTCTGTGAGAGTTTTCCTCATGGTTCCATAGCTATAGATAGACTATGGCACCATGGCATATTGGGATGTGATAAACTCTAAAATATCCCATGACTCTTTCTGCCTGAGCTAGAACAGGGACATCCAGGACCCCCTTTCACCCCTTTGTGACATCAGCTGAGAGTTATGGTTCAGAACTAGCATCTAGCCTTTTGCAAATTGGTAACTCTCTCCTCCCAGGCAGAACTGCACCTAAAACTTGTTGGCGCTAGATGTACACCTCCTAGGCAAGCCCTATGAAAAACTAGGTGACTTCAAATAGAGGACTCCTCTGACTTGGTACACTCAAAGGACCCCAAGAATCATAAACAGTCAGTGCGCTGTCTTTTGTTCAGTTTGCAGTGCTCACATTATTGTGCAAGAGACTGCCTTTAAAGAATATATGCTAGGGACAGGAGACAGAACTGTGTGGCCTTTGATGGCCAGGTTGGCAGATGTCCTGCCTTAGACGGCCACTTTCCTGTGCCTAGTGCGGAGGTCATGGACATTGGAGGCCTCCCCCCAAACCTGGATGAGGTCCACGATCTCCACCCTAG